TAATCTGTACTCTTCTCCGAAGTTAGAACAATGTTCTCTTTTATTCACATTTCTAACTACTTTATCAATTTAACAGAAGAGAATTCAGACGAGACACTATATTTTATTGTGTTAGATTGTTTACAGGCTACTCTTCAATCCTCATGGCCAATCCAATTCAAATTTGTTTTACCAAAGAAAAGTCGCTATGAGCTGCTTAAGGACAATGGATTTCTTTTGAAAATTACCACTTTTTGTTATTTATTCTTGTGCACGTGTGGGTGCACGGATGTGCAGGTGTATGTGGGGGGGGGCAAGGGGTTGACATCTTCTCAATTGTTCTCCACCTTATTTTTTGAGATAATGTCTCTTACTGAACCTAGAGCTCACTGATTTTGCTAGACTAGCTGGCCAGCGAGCCCTGGGGATGCTCTTGACTCCATCTCCCCTGTGTTGAGGTTACAGGTGCACATCCCCACACCAGCTTTTCATGAGGGTCCTAGGGACTGAACACAGGTCTTCATGCTTGCACAGAAAATATTCTACCTGCTGATCACTTTCACCAAGCCTCTGAATTTCAATCTGCATGTGTATATATACATATACAGACGTACATATATATATATACATATATGTATATATGTATATATATACATATATATATATAAAAGAAATTGTCTAATTCCGTATTGTCAAAATTTTCAAAAGCTTTAAGTCAAGAAAAGCAACAAAGCTCATTTTCATTAATCTTAAATGTATGACTATACTATGAATAGCAAGTACAATGATTGTGGAGATGCATTATTTAGACTTTATATGCCAGCAAAATGTTGCTTAGTGGGAATGCACACCAATGCAAAGGTGCTTCTGTTGTACTGAGCATTTCTAGAACTTTCTTTTGAATAATTCCCCAGGGTCTAAAGAACCTTTCATTCTGGTCTCTGAAGCTGAGTTTGGTTGGTAACCAATGCAACTTTGGTTACTTCTTTGGTGGCACATAAGATGGGAACTGATTTTGAACCCCTTCCATGCAAAACCCTTGAGCTGGATTGAAGGAATCTGGGTCACCTCATTAGGGTTACAAACAAAGTGTGACTACAGAGTCTGGGCTTATATCACAGCCAAGTAGGATAGTCTGTCTGTTGTCAAGCTGACCAGCTAGAACACCTACCTTAATTCTCTCCACACCCTCCTATAACTTGACCCGAGCTGTTTACTGAGACCACTTCCTCCTTTATTAGAGGGAGTGGGGCTGGTATTTATCTCAACAATTTTAGTAATAAAATAAAGTGAAAGAAAATACCCAGCATTAGTCCATTATAAAGAGACAACCGTGAAGAAATAACATTCATTAGGATGTAGGTGAACCAATAGTTAGTGTTTCTTTTTCTTTTTCTTTTTCTTTTTCTTTTTCTTTTTTAACAGGGTCTCAGGTAGTACTGTTTAGTGTTGGAATTACAAGTATGTATCACCACACTTAACTTTCCAACGTGTAAAATGAGATTTATTTATTTATTAATTCATTTACTTATTGAGACAGAATCTCCCTAAGTAATCCAGGCTGGCCTGGAATTTAGTATGTAGACCAAGCTAGATTCAAACACAAAGCAATTCTGCTTTCTTTCTTCCCAAATGCTGTATTAAAGCCTTGTACCACCATATCTGGCTGTTTTTTTCTTACTTACTTTTTTGGGGTACATGTAAGTGCATCTGTGAGTGTGAATTCATACAGGTATGTATGCACATGGGTGGAGGCCCATAGAAGCCAGAGGTCAGCCTCTAGCCTTGTTCCTCAGGAAACATCCATTGTGTTTGGAGACAGGGTATCTCACTCCTTGAGCTCACTGGTGAGGTTAGGCTGGTTGGACAGAAAGCTCTGGGGTCATCCAATCTCTCTAGTGCTGGGATTACACACCATCCTCTCTCTCTAGTGCAGGGATTACACACGAGCACACTTGGCTTTTTAATGTATGTTCTGTATGTTCCAGGGATCCAACTCAGGTCTTCATGCTTGTGAGCACAGACTATCTTCCAAGGCCCTGAGTTTTATTTATTTTTTATTGTTCTACTTTCTTATTATCTCATCAGATATTAACCCTGAGATTATTACTGTTCTACTTTGAGTAAAGATTTGTTGCACTTTTTGTGTTTTGGGGTGATGGGACTGTGCTTGTCTGTCTCTGTGGCTGCTGGGTGAGTCATGAACAACAAAATTGAAAATATAAATTGATACCCCAATGGAGAAGGCTTTGAAAGGGTGAGCCGCAGGATTAGCCACTGTCCAATAGAAAAGATAGTGACTGGAAGGTCTGGAGTAGAGGACAGTCATTTTGTCTGTGTTTTGGGACGGTTCCTGACATGCCAGACTAAAATTTCTTGATAGCAGTATTTGTATACACCTTATACTCACTTTACATGAACAAGCAAAAGAACAAGTTACTGGATGGGAGACCTGGCCAGGATTAAGTGCATGGGCAGAAAGATCAGGATAGAATGGAAAAAAAATCAGGAATGATTTACAAGGACAATGTCAAAAGGATCTGGTGACTGAATGTCAGAGCCAAGGAAGATGGGGAGAAGGGGAGACTCCGAGGCAGCTGGCTTGGATGACAGCTTGGGTGGGGGATGTGCAGGGAGGCTGTCATCAACAGAAATAGAAAACACAGGCTAGGAGAACAATTTTGAAAATTGGGGGGAACAATGCATCTGATTTTAGTTCAGTGAGTCTGCACCGAGGTGGGAACGTCTGACTGGTGAGGAAAAGCACAGGCTTGGAGTTGAGCAGAGGTCAAGATCAAAGATAAAGTCTTGTTTATGGAGTCGTATCAGTCAAATCGATAACTGGACTCACACAGAGGATGAAATCATCCTTGGAGACTGTGTTGATCAGGAACGATTGGCCAGTTAGGGGACTTAGGAAAATACTCTCACTTACAGACTGGATCTGGGACAAGAAATTGGAAAAGAGAGCCTAGAAATACCATGACAAACCTGTGTCGTGAAGGTTGCAAGAGGACTCCAAAGGCCATGCCACCACCTCAGACCCAAGAGAAGGGACTGAGCTGGTGTATCCATACATTTGCAGCTTGTGGACAACCACTCTGAAAGCTGCAGTAGCAAGGGAAGCCCAGAGTTGGACCAAGGAGGGGCTCAGAGATAGGCTGGGATGGAAACGGTGGCACTATTCTGTTCCATCTTCAACTGCTGCTTCCGAATTCTCTTCAGAAGAGTGTTCTCTGCTGCCCCATCAATGCTAATGTCACCCAGGACTCTGTCCTTGGCTGCAAGCTTACAGCAGTGAAGGCTCTCTGGGTTTCAAATAACAGAAAGCAACTCCAGCTGGCTTGAGCGGAAAGATTTATTGGAAGGATGCAGTTACCTCACAGGACCCAAAGGTCCTGAGTCTTGCATGTGAGCTCTAACCAGAAACCAAGCACCACAAGGCTGCTTCTCCCTTACTGCCTCCCCCGGCTCCCCCCCTCGTCACCATCTATTTTTAAGCCCCTCTCTGTTCACTGAAAACCAGCTGCTCGGATTTTCCAGGCCACGTGACTGAAAACATGTCTGCTGCCCACCCTTGAGTCATATCCCTTGTGAAGCCTCTCAGGGGGGCACCTGAATTGCACTCATAGTTACAATGTCCTCTGAGTTTGTCAGCTTGCTGGGATCAGACCAGCAATGTCACACTGCACAGGCAGTGGTACGGGGGACTGGGTTCTGGAAGTGAGAGGATGGAGAAAGCCTTGCCTAGTCAAGAAGAGGGTAAGGAGAGGAAGGTGTGTGGGTGGCTTCTCTGGCTTTGTTCTTTCCTCAGAGAGCCGGGATGTTCTGGAGCAGCAAATTCAGTGGGGTGCATCTTAGAAGAGGTCCCAACCTAAAAGGCTGCCCAGGACATCATCTTCCTCTATGACCAGCCCTGGCTGCATGCACTTGAGTCCTTGGGGACATGTCCATCCCTTCTGGGTGAACCAGAGTTGAGTGGGGTCAACCAGAGCCTATCCCTAGATGCTCAGAAGTTGGATCTAGATGGAGCATGGACCAGTTCTTTTTGAGGATGGCATAAGGCTGTTGGTAACTACAGGAAGAAGCGGGAATCTGGAGGTGCTGATAGTGTTGTGGGCCCTGGGACCTACCTGCACCCCTGCCTTCTCTCTATTAGGTCTTATAAAGTTAGCTCAGTGATTTTTTTTCTTTTTCCTTGTTCAAAGTAAATTCTCTTTGGGTAGTTTTCTGTCATTGAGATAAAATGCCTTGTCTAATCTAGAGTCATGGGAGTTGCACAATAGGCATTCCCAGGCTCACCTCTTGCTTCCCACATCCATGGTAGGAAATGACTCTTCCCTTTCCCTTGTCACCTTGCTAAGGACAGACAGGATCCAGACAAAAGTGCAACACACAAGTTTGGAACTCTGGCTGTCACTGAAATAATGGGTCTGAAAATAAATACTATTAGCGATTTTTTTTTTTGTATTTAAGAAATCTAACATCTCTCTTTATGTTTTGAGATCAGGATCAATGACTCAGTTTGTCTACTGTGATGAAAACACTTGCTGAACAAAGTCCAACTGGAACACTGTGAACAAAATCATACACGTCTCAATGAGACCAGTAATCCATTTCTGTCTTGGAGATAATGTTTCATTCATGTTGAGAAATGATTTTCATTCCTTCTTCATTTAGTTTATGAATGTTTGAATAAGCCTTTAATTTTTAACAAACTCTATTTTTGGAGTAATTTTAGATTTATAGAGAAATCACGAAAACAGTGGCGCTCCTGGATACTCCTCACATAGTCACTCCCGCTGTCACAAGCAACAGAGAAAGCCTGAGCTTGGCTCATCTCTACTGTATGTTCCTAGGGGCCCACCTAGGAGAACAAATTAGATTTTAGTCGAATTCATTTGGTTGTCCCATATCCTTGGATTCCTCTGGTTTATCACAGCTAAAAACTTTGTTTTTCTTAAGGCTATCTGCTAATAATTTATATGAGCATGAAGCTTGTTTAATGATTGCTCCACTAATTTATACTTCTGCTTGATCTTTTAATGTTTAACATTTTAAAAACAAATCACATTAATTTCTTTTACAAATGTTAATGCTGTGAGATCTGCCAAGAGTTACAATGGCAATATCAGTATTTCAGAATTATTTTTAATAGATGTTATGTTGAATGCTCAGTGTCTCGATTTGCTTCAGGAAAGTAGTCATAGGATTCTAGGGGCGCGGTACAGTGTAGAGATTCCTAACAGTTCCGGATGGTTGAAGCTTCAGGTGCCCAGCAAAACTACCTAGAACCAGAAGTATGCAGCAGAAGCAAGCCAGCTCAGGCTAGATTCTCTCAAGTAGGAAGCCCAGGTCCAGGCTATCTTAAAGGGACCCAAAAAGTCACACTCTTTTGCCCATTAAGACGCCAATTGCATTCTCTATATAAAGAATGACTGGCTTCCTGGCCTGAGCTGTTCCCTGTGTTCGGTACAGTCAGTGCCCTGTCACTGATTGCACTCCAGGGACTTTATATAAGAGAAGTCTTTGTTTTCCTAGCATTTGCTCATTCCTTGGACCACAGCAAGCTTAAATGAAAGACGATGACACCACTAGCAGAACACAGCTAACCCTCCCCAGAGCTGGTAAGAGCTAGGGATCTGGGCAGGCGAGGGGTGGAATGTGAGCAGAGCCTCCATCTTACAGCAGGACGAGTGCAGAGCTGATAAGAGTCGAAAGGAAGAAATCACTGGGTGGCAGGGCCAGCAACAGCAGCCTGACTCAGGGCTCTTAGCAACACAGAAGGAGATTCCAGTATCAGCATCCAAAACTATAATTAAGAGTTTACTCACAAGCACACACAGCACCATAAAAGAGTGAGGTCTGCATGACCTTCAACTAGATTACAATTCATTGATCTGTCCAGCTTTGCCAAAAGTATAGTCCACAAGCATCCGGTTGGCTTCACTTTGCCTGTCCATAGTTCATGGCGTACTCAAAGTCTCTGAAGCTGACGTGACCGTCTGAATCTTGATCTGCTTCCCTGGAAAATGACACGGAAAGTTATTCACACATTATTCCTGTCGGCACCTCCATGTCATGAGCACACTGGAGTCTTCCCTTCTCTGCGTGTCAGCACCAGGGAGGAGCAGCCCTATCTGAAGAGCAAGGGTGGTGCCTGTGCTCCCCTCCCCTACATGGCTAACTCCTACTAAAGTATGGAGGAAAGAAGGGGCATTTATAAAAACCTGCAGAAACACACACAGAATGTGTCTGAGGGATGGATCTAAATGTATAAACTCTACAAGAAAGGGAGGAATAAAGGGCCAGGGCTGATAGAGTGTGAGGCTAGCACACACGAAGCCCTGAGTTAAACCCTAGCACTGCACAGAACTGGGAATAGTGGTGTACACCCATAATCCCAGCACTGGAGAGGTGGAGACAGGAGGATCAGAAGATCAAGGCCATCTTCATCTACACAGTGCGTTTGAGGATAGCCTGGGCTACATGAGAACCTGTCTCAAACGAAAGTAGGAACGATTATTGTTCTATGTGTTGATCTCATACATATTATATACATAACATATGTATATACACATACATATACTCATCATATAACAAAATGTGAGATTAAATAAATGGGAGGAAAATGTTTTAGCAGCCAACGGTGATGACAACAAAGTCTGATGTCCTACACACCACTGTCTTTACACCTTAAGACTGCAGAATTCTAGCACCAGTTCTGGGTTTGAACCAGTTTACACACAGAGCTACTGAGCCTTAAGGAGACTTAAAACTTCTCTAAGGAGCACGCTGCTGGAGAGCAGCTAAAATCCAACTCAAACAAGGACTGTGAAACTCTGAAGTCAGGGCTGCATAGACTCCTGCCATTGTCACCCTATATAACCAAGACACCACCCAGGAAGAAGTTCCTGCACGGCGTGTTTCCTCGCTGGCTTCACTCATATCCTTGGAATCACCGTGAAATACTCGCAATACACATACTAAGCTTTTCTAATTCCTATCAAGAGTGATGGAGATGTGAGCCCTTGACTAAGGGTGTGGGAAGCCTCCGAGGGGGTGTCCTTGGAACCTCTGAGACATGGCTCTGCTCCCTGAACAGGCAGCAGAAAATGGCACACATTCTAAGATTAGGTACACCCAAAGCACAAAACATGGCCAGCAGCAACTCATCAGCTCTGCCACCAGGAAAAAAGCTATTAAATAGCATGTCTGAAAGGATAACACACGGGCATGGTCCCAGCTCCTCTTGGGGACATCCTGAAACAATGCAGGACATGCCTTTTTCTGAGCGTCTGCGGTTGAGGCAAATGACGTTCTGCAGAAAACAATGGTAGCAACCATGTCACAGGGCTTTTAAAAGCAAAGACTGGCCTAAGCAAGAAAGCCACTAATCACTGTAATAGTTTTAAAGCAGGCTTTTAAAATATTGAATTCTAAAATAAACTTTCTGAATATTTCATGCCAAAGTCTCTGAAGTCTATAATGGTTCTGGATAGAGTGATGATAATTTTTCTTTCTTTTGAAGTAGAGAAAAAAAAAAAAAACCCTACTTCTCTGCCCCAGGGCAAAGACCGTGTTGCAGTGTGTTGGGATAAAATGACTGCATACCGTGGAGGCTATTCTTCTTGTTATATCTCTTGGTGAAATATGCATGGTGATTTCATGTTACCCAGCATGCAGGGCACAATGTCAGATCTCTTCTAAGGGATTTAAAACAATCACAGGATCGCACATCACTGACTACGGATATAAACCATCCCTTCGATAAAATTAGATAATTGATGATTCTTCATAGTGCCTACGTATCTGATTAGATGAGCAGCCTTCTCTCCCTTTCTATTCTGAATTGGTATGTCTGAACTATAAATCTCACAGGGCGAATAACATAGAAGAATACTCTTAGGACAAACTGCTTCTGGTGATATCTTGAGTGTGTTTTCACTCACTTAATGGGGCATCAGGAGACTGCAGAAAAGCGAATCCCTCTGCCCATTTTTTCCCCCTGTAAGCAACCTGTTGTTATTTGTATTAACATTTAATTATTCTTGTTGTCTTTGCTACAGCTTTCCACTGGAAGGTGGGTACACTGTCACCAAGCATGTGAAAGGGGAAAGTCCATCTATATGGCTTAGAGAAGGCATGTGTTCCCATACCAAATGGAGAGATATCTGATACATCCTGTTTATGTTTAGGATGAGACGTGGTACAATAGCTGATGCTTGTTCCTGTTTCACACATATGAACAGGTCCGGTCCTTTCAACTTGAGCAAACAGGAAGTTGAAGTTTAAGAGCTAAAAGTTTAAAAGCTATATGACATACAGTTTTTATTACCAACACAAATATTCTGTGGAAGACGAGGACACCACACTCAGTCACAGTGTGATAGGAACAGACAGGTGGGTGGGGAGGGCTGGAGACATGACGAGGGAAAGACTGCCATTAAGTAGGAAGGAATATCATTTCTGTGTACAGTAAAGCCTTCGACCCTGGTTCTGAAACCGGAACATACTGTTTCAGTGCCACTCTGCAAATGTCCAGCACCAAAATATCTCATCGCCTCTCAGCGCTACTAGGAATAATCTCCAAGAGTGCAAGGACTTTTGCCCACAGCTGTCTCCACCTCTTAGCTCACAGCAGGCAATGGCTGTGGTGTGTTGCTTAAATGAATCTGTGGAGTAAATGGAGCTGGGGGAACCTGGGACAATATTACCTCCCAGGAGGTGTTGGGATTGAATAACTTACCACTGCCAACCGTCGGGAAGGCAGCCAGTGAAATAAAACATGGGGAAGAAGCCACCTCCAAATACCACCCAGAGATTCACGATAAGTCCACTATGGTTTGTGTGCTCAGCTGCATTCAGCAAACGCAGAGTAAGCATGGGGACAACCACAGGAGAGATGGGCTTTGGACAACAAGGCTGCTGAGTGTTTTGATTGTAAGAGCAAGGTAAACTCCATCCTCAGAAAAAACCAACTTGAGAAATTCGCTGCATGGCACAAGGCTGATTCAGCTTCAGTCAAGGAACCATAAACCGTTCCAAGGAGCACTCAAACTGTGCCCACCCTGGACAAAGTGACCCCATCCAGGTGGTCAGACAATGACTAATTTTGGCAAATACAGCTTCTTGTCACAACTGTCCTTGTCAGCAACTGTTAGTATCAATTTTGAAATCCCTAGCCCCCATGTCAATGAATCCAAAGGTCAACTACTCTTACCCAATTCCGAACAGCCAAGGTAAGTTCCACCCTGCTTGTGGTTTTTTCCTTTTATAAACCCCTTAAAATTGAGGCCAGGCACCCTTTTCCTGTAGCTGCTGTGCCAGTTTGCTGGACAGGGTCCCTGCTGAGGCTTGTAACTTAACATTAAACCTTATGCATTTGCATCAGTGAGTCAGATCCTTGGTGGTCTTTTTTGGGGTGTCACAAACTTGGCATAACAGTGATGGATGAAGGAATCCCTTGACCGTCAGGCAGGATGGGTAGATGTATCCAATCCAAGGCCCATCCATGTGCAGCCAAGGGAGGCTGTGAATATGGCTCAACATAAAATCATAAAACATTATTAGAAAGAGAAAGAGAGACAGAGACACACACAGAGGGATAGAAAGACAGAGAGATAGAGACTCTGTGTGTGTGTGTGTGTGTGTGTGTGTGTGTGTGTGTGTGCGCGCGCGACTTGATTATGTGGGTCTCAAGGATGACCTTCATAGATGACAATGCTATGTCACCATATCAAAAGGCTAGATACACTAACAGGATATGGAGTCTACTTTCCCATGATGGAACCAGTAAGGAAACCCTCTCTGGTAGAGATCTGGCCACGTATCTAAGCTCAAGGCTTAGAATGGGCTGTTGAAAGGAATCGAGCTCATAGAGATGCATGGGAGGAAAATAGATTGCTATTAACAGTAACAAGTGCTTTCTAAGAATGCAAGTCCAATGACATTAAAGGCCATTTGATTTGTTTTTAAGATGCATAATTGGGACCTGCCTGGAATTGCTTTTGGCAGTAGGGACTCCAGAGAGCTGGCTGCTCTGTATGTGTGACTCCCCGTGAACAACTGAGGAGCTTTTGGGAGGAAAATCTGAGGAGAAAAGAGAGGCGCAGGAAGAGGGATGCAGGAAGAGAGGTGCAGGAAGGGGGTACACCACACAGGGAGATGGAGAAGACACCAAAAGCCCTCCAGTGAACTGATACATTCACCAGGAGAGAGCATCCACGGTGCTGAGTAGCATCTTCCTGACCTCCACTCAGGGTTGTGATGGATACGCATACTATGAGGAGCTTGAGGGTATGTGCCTGTAGTCAGGGGCCGAGAGGACCAAAGAGAGCGCTGTCTGAGCAGGAGAAGTAGGGAAGAGGAAGGCATGTGGGGAATGGTAGTGTGGTTCATCACCTGAATTAAGTCACAGAAGAGAGCGGAGGGCCAGATGCTCTCTGGAAATACGCAGGAATCTTGAAAAGTGTTTAGGTTCCTATAGGATGGGGTTCTATGCAATCCTCTCTGGACTCAGGAGCGCAGGAAGACCTTCAATGACTGTGTGCAATGAGACTTTAATAGGACTGGATAGACCACCCCACTGAATACCAATGTTTTCACTTCTCTAAAACAAACATTCTTCCGTCTACTGTATTACAGTAAGAAGTGCTTTACGGTTACTTTCATGAACATTAGAAGCGAATTGATGTTTTTTTTTTTTTTTTCTCTCTCTCCTGTACATCCTAATTGGTTAATCAGAGTTGTCTCTTGGTGATGCTGTGTAGACTTTGGTAACCAGAGTAGGTACCTCCCTAACCAGAGGCTGTGAGGTCTGAGCCTCAGGGAGCCTAGGTTTCCCACTGTGATCTCTCACAGACCACAGTATTGCCTACTGACTTCTGAGGGAAAACTAACGTTATCTGTGTGTGTTCATATACATGGGAGTGTACACGTATGTGCAGGTGCATGAGGAGTCCAGAGGATGAGCCTTGGGTGTTGCTTCTCGGGTGCTGTCCACCTTTTTATTTGGGGTAGGGC